TCTACAAAAAGTCGTGGTTGAATGTAAATTTTTCCAAGATGATCTAGATGTGTTCAAGAAAGCCCTTTAAACTTAAACATCATGTTGATGAATGCATTTATTTCACACAAATTTAGCAAAAATACACTACAATTCCTCATTTAAAAAAAATGAAAATTAAAAAAAAGATTGAAAGAAAATTCAAATTTTTAAAAGGTCTATGAAAAAAGGATAATTTGTCAAAAAGCATTTATAAAATAAAGCAAGAGTTATGTATTCCAACTAAATAGCGTTGGCCTATTCTAATGAAGATCAGTCCATTTTTGGTGAATATAATATCGTTGGGCAGAATTAAGGACCATTATGGATAGGAATATGAGGTTAAGTTCTGGGACAACGAAAGTCATAATATTGTGATCATAATTTCTTTGCGTAAGACACTAAGCTAGAGAAATGTTTTAAACCAGTAAATTGACAATAGCTGTAACCACTTTATGTAAAATAGGTGATGAAGGACCGATAGTTGAATTTTTCCAAAATATTATGAGTAGGCATCAAGGAATTTCACTTATCTTTGCCTCAGACAAAAGATATTCGTATTCAGGTTAGACTGAGGTTCCGACCTAGTCTAGGCCTGATCAGCACCACCAGTGGGGATCGAATCTGGGTAGTGCTGCATATAATCTCTACACCTAAATACTAAACAAGCTGTTCAAGATTTTTTATCATACGAAGTTAACTATAAATTGGGGTATAGTTGAGGCTACCTCTGTTGAACTACAACACGATGAATGATTAAATATAGGTCAAATAATCGTCACTAGGCCCTTAAAATTCGCTTTCAACTTCTAATCTCACCGAAGTGGATCGTATGGTGTTCGGCAGATGCAATAAATTTCAGAATTCTTAGATTTCGTTTTAGCTGGTCCAGATAAGGTATCATGAGGCACATCAGCTTCTTTTTCAGCATTAGCAATATTGCTAAGGTTGCCACGACGTCGAGAACCAGGATGTCGTCGGGCTTCGTTAGCACGACAGCCTCTCTGTGAATGAAATAAGTGAATAGAACAAGTTTAGTGCAAAGATAGATGATTAAATAGCTCATTTGTAGCGATGGTAAAAAATCTATCATATATTAATGGTAATATGGTGGTGGATACTATTATATAGATTTAGGTGAAGATGATAGCAATTGAAAAGAAACGGACAATGTGTTATTATTGGGGTCATGTAAATTGGATAAGAATTGTTAGTGGTAGTTAGGAGAAACAAAATGTATGATAGAAATTGAGATGATGGAGTTCATAAACAAAACATAGTAGTGGGTTGACCTCGTTGTCGCAAACTGGTCTTGCTTTCAGAGTGACTTAGTAGAACGCATCAGATCCGAAGTCCCCTGCCATAGCGTTTATCATAATTCCCAGCATCAGACCGTGGACTGGGTACATTCTCAGACATTTCGCCGTCATCGTAGTTGGCATCATCAGTGAGTCTTGCCATTCTCAGTAGCAAAGTACGAACTCGTCAAAGGGACAAGTGAAGTCAATCCTTCGATAAGGATTCTGCCGAAAACGATTACACTATCACACCTCTTTCTGTCCTGGCCTATCTACCTAGTCTTTAACTTCTTAGCCAACTCCCGCCCTATCACAACTTCTCATTTGTTTGCATTCCACTCGTCAAAATGTGCCCTTTTGCGGCAAATTTAATGTGGCCTCATCACACCTTATATTCACTCCGACCCCGTCTCCTTTGATCAGATAATCCGACTCGTGCCTCCTATTCTGATCTCCGTCATCGTCTCGTAGATCCGTTCCTTATCTTTATGGCTAGCGAGTTCACTCTGTTCCAGTCACACTGTGTGTTTTAGCATACGAATCAAGGAATATCAAAGGCTCTGCGGGAAAATGGATATCGAAAGATCAGAATTAGCGGAACACATCACACAGACTAGACACGAGATCAAAGGGAAGGGCCTCAGACAGTGAAAACAAAAGGAAGCGGAAGATTAAGGAGGCCATTGACATCGTTGGGGAAAAAATCTAATGAACAAGAGATTGGAGAAAGGCAGTTAGCGATGACTTTGCACAATGCTTAAGCAAACCTGAGGAAAACAAGAATACAGCAAGACCAGCAAAGAGGAGACGTCTGGATTAAGGATCTATCTCTAACCGGAGGAAAATGGATCGCGATGAGCAAAAGGGGGTATGGGGGGATTTTCGGCAATCAAGCTAAGGCGCTGTCAGTGGGTGATGTCCATTTCGAATAAACCAGTACAACTGTGGGGACCTGGCAGTCATGAAACTAAGAAAGACGGATAAGCAAACCGTAACATAAATTCGGCGTTATGGCCAAAATTGACTAGAAATCCACTTGAGATGCAGCATGCCATAAGAGATAGGCGTCCACAGTTGACTAGGTAACACGGGCTTAATCAAAGAGACGACCCGTGAAAACAATGCCTGATATTTGTAAGCATGGGAATCAGAGCCTAGGCGATCTGCTCAAAGAGGAGGTAGTATACGTGCTTCTAGACTCTTGAGAAATAGCGCCTGGAGTAAAATGCAGACTGGGACTAGAACCGAGTGAAACCGGTCAACCAGAAAGTTAAGGGACCATCAGGGAGATAGGGATAGATGGCCCGAGTCGGATTAGCCGATTGAAGGAAAATTGGTCGGAGTGAATAGCAAGTGTGATGAAGCCAAGCTAACTTTGCCAAAAAAGGGCACACATTTTGACTAGTGGAATGTAAACAAATGAAAAATTGTGGAGTTGGATAAGAGGGTAAAGAGTAGATAGATAGGCCAGGACAGAAAGAGGAATGATAGTGTAATCGTTTTCGGCAGAACGCTTGACAAGGGACTGAATTCACTTGTCCATTTGACGAGTTCGTGGTTTGGTGAGGAGAATGGCAAGACTCACTGATGATGCCAACTACGATGCCGGCGAAATGTCTGAGAATGTACCAAGCCCACAGTCTGATGCTGGGAATTATGATAAATCCTATGGCAAAAGAATTCGGACAAGGTGCATTCTACTAAATCATCCTGACAACTAGACCAATTTGCGCCATCTTGGTCTTTATATCTTCGATAAAACATAGTAGTGTTTGAGAAAAATGGCCCAAAAAAATGGAATATAGGGAAAAATCCTAGGATGAAAAAGCAATAAATAAATAAATTACGCGATGAATTTCACCAAATAGTATATTATAATAGGATTATCAGCGCAGAGAATTAATTTTGAAAATAAAAATATACAGAAAATAATAATAATTTGGAAATATACTGTCATTTATAGAGAATTTTGAATAGTTGGCATTTACAAAGTTGCGCAATTATGGCTTCAAAAAACACATATCACTGCTTATGGCATGGCAGCTATCAAACGTATTGCTAAATTGGCGAATAAGCAGAGAAAATCAAATTTATATGTGAATTGATGGCAGTAACGAAAGAGCATTCTGAGAGGAATAATCAGAAATAAAGAGAATACTGATTAAAGCAGTGGTTCTCAAATTTTTTCTAGTCGCGGCGCCCTTTTTCAATTAAAATTTTTCCATGGCGCCCTACTCTAAGTATGATAATTCGTGGGTAAAAGATAAAAATAAATAAAACTCGTGTATCTTCATTTTTTTATTTTATTAACATTAAATTAATTTTTAATAATTAATGCGATGGATGAGCCTGCAAATCCCTACACATTTTCTCAAATTGAGGCTTTTACAATATTTCGCGGCGCAACCGTAAAGAGGCCGCAGCACACAGTTTGGGAATCACTGGATTAAAGGATAAGGAGGAATGAAGATCAAGATAGTGAGGCCTTTAGTATGATCGCGGTCTCCTTTCGTTGTATAGTAGTAGCTTGACCTTGTTTTCACAAACTTAGTTATTTTGGCAGGAAGGACTAGAGGAATGCACATTGTGAGGAGTCCATCGTATGCATGATAATTTCCAGAGTTGGACCGTTTATTTGGTACATTCCCAGACATTTCGCCTGCATCGTCAGTGAGCCATAGTGTTGTTATAACCATATAACAATGCGTCAGACGTTATATTATGGCTCAAGAAATTAGCATGCATACTACGGACTGCGGACAAGGTGCTTTCCCTTAAGTCTTCCTGACAATATGATCAAGTTGAGAAAATAAGGTTAAATAGCTACTATAATGATAAGGAGGATTTAACGGTTATGCGAAGGGAGAAAATAGTGACAAGAACTGTAATTATCCTTTAAAGCCATAA